TTATAGCATTTTATTTGAATTTATAATAATGCATGAAGCACTGAATTATTCCAAAGGGATTTCTGATATCTCTAAACTATGTTGTGTTAGGTCTTAATCAGTGGCTGGAATTACACAAGGAGAAGTCACAATGGAGGGTTAGAGACATGTCTAAATCATCCCTACAGCTTACTGATCAGCAATCTTTTTCTGAAATATATTAAATATGGTCTGCTGTTACTTGAGGCTGAGGGTTTATTAATCATTGTTGTTGACAAAAAGTAGACATATAGCTACACTGACAAGATCTGGTAGCCTGGGCCCCGGTTCACAAAGCTCTCGTAGGCCTAAGATCTCGTAACTTTTCTCGTAGCATTCGTACTCCCTATGTTACAGTATAGGAGGTACGAATGCTACGGGAAAAGTTACGAGAACTTAGGCCTACGAGAGCTTTGTGAAACGGGGCCCTGGTGTTTGCCGTAGACTTGATGGGGACATGTCACCTTGGGGCGATATTGATTGTAGGGATCCTAGGTATTGATTATCTCTTGATGGGATTAGTAGGGGCTTGGACTTTCAATCAAATGTTGCTCATTTTGGCCTCCTTAAGGAGTTGTGAGAGCAGCAGGATTCCACAGGATATGATTGATTGGTCGGGCAGTGTCTCAATGGGTAAGATGTGGCATTAGCTCTTGTTTATTGATGTAACAGGAGCTAATGGTTTAATCATTATTTCAGCTTCAAGTTGGGAATTGTATGGAATGTTTAGTTCCAGTGTGGGGAAACTTGAGTTGCGGAGTGGAGAATGGATGATGTAGTGCCCAGGTCAACCAGTATATTGGAGGTGACATTTCTGAACGTGGTCCCCACGTGTGTACAGTTGCTGCAACTTTGGTTTGCTGATGCAATCGATGATGTGATTGAGAAGGAAATTTATGATGCATTCAGCCCAGTGCTGGAGAACATCTTTAGGATTAACGGAACTTTAGTGACAGACAATATGAATATCCAGGATCACTGTCCTTAGTGGACACGTGGAGACAGTGCGTGTGTCCGGGGAGCAGTCCTGTATCCGTGGCTGAGAGTGGTCATTGCCATAAGAGAATTTCAGTCCGGGTGTCCAGGGGTGGGCCCTGTACTTCTGGGAGAGCTTGTAAAATGAACAGTGCCTGCGTGTGTATTGAGGATTACAGTGCATGTGTACGTGGGTCGCAATGACAATCATGTGGAGGTACAAGCAACAAAGAGTGTGGAAGCGTGTGACCAGCCTCCCCTCCAGACAGCCACAATCATCCAAACAGTAAGTCAGACAGGGAACAACACTCTGTCACAGTGGCCACAACATCTGGTACATAACCTAGGCAGACAGTGATTTATACACAATACAGACTACGGTTAGCTGAAGGCTAGTACAACTTCAGTGTTTGTAGGCAGGGATGATGATTAGGCCGCTGTAATGATGCATCAAACTATCGATGGATTGCAATTGTTGAGTTTCCGATAGCAATGAATCGATGGTAACAACGAAAAACTGTCGATGTATCGATAGTATGTTTGACTATCGATAGTTTAGTAATTGACTTCTGTTGATAAATGCGCAGCACAAAATACAGGAAGGACCAGATTCCTTCACTTTGATTTAGAGTTACCTGCCCCTGTTACCTCTTAAACAAACTTGATCTGGGTTTCAAGTTTCTTGTCAGTTATTAAAAGAGACTGAAACTACTTTAGCTTGTTTTCATTTCATATAAACTATACATTCATTTGGGAAATGACTTCAAATGAGACAATTCAAGGAGAGAAAAACTATTGCAATATTATTGCAATATTATTGCAATAGTTGGTCGCAATAGACTATCGCTATCACAATAGTATGATGCAATCGACTATCGCTATCACAATAGTTGTTTCCCCACTCAATAGTCACCCCTAATGATGATACTGATACCATTGTTTGGTTCAGTAAATGTTTCTGTGTCAGTTGCGCCTACAGTAGTCCCTGTCATTGTCCTATAATATGTAAGGTTTAAGGGGTCACGAGAAACAAATACTGCGGTAGAAAATTCAAGGGCCCTTCAATCAAATGACCCCTCTACTTTCCAAAACTGGGTAAAAGAGTTCTTCCACAACAATTTCGAAGCCTTTATGTTGATTAATCAGTCATGGGTATCAAATCTATGTGAGACCATGAGACATTATGTTGAACAAAAAGATTTATTGAGAAGCATTTCTGTTTGCAACCCTGTCAGTTTCAAATGTAGGTTTTCATTCATTATAATTGCTAAATAACATATTGCATGCATGATTAACATTGTGGAAGAAAACTAGACAAGCATATATAAAGAATTGTATAAGGTAACTTAGTGATGTCAAAATAATGGAGCTTAATTTTGAACATAAAATTGCAAAGGTTGCACTAACACTTGAATTTTAACACAGTAACATTGCTTTACGTCAAAATTTCTTAGATAATGATATATTTGAAACTTTTACCCAGATTTGTGACTGGTGTAACTCTGTATACAATGACAACTGGTGCAACTCTGTATACAATGACAACTGGTGCAACTCTGTATACAATGACAACTGGTGGACCTCTCTAACAATGACAACTGGTGTAACTCTGTATACAATGACAACTGGTGCAACTCTGTATACAATGACAACTGGTGTAACTCTGTATACAATGACAACTGGTGCAACTCTGTATACAGTGACAACTGGTGTAACTCTGTATACAATGACAACTGGTGTAACTCTGTATACAATGACAACTGGTGCAACTCTGTATACAATGACAACTGGTGTAACTCTGTATACAATGACAACTCTGACAACAACTGGTGTAACTCTGTATACAATGACAACTGGTGCAACTGTATACAATGATAACTGGTGCAACTCTGTATACAATGACAACTGGTGTAACTCTGTATACAATGACAACTGGTGTAACTGTATACAATGACAACTGGTGCAACTCTGTATACACTGACAACTGGTGCAACTCTGTATACACTGACAACTGGTGTAACTCTGTATACAATGACAACTGGTGCAACTCTGTATACAATGACAACTGATGTAACTCTGTATACAATGACAATTGGTGTAACTCTGTATACAATGACAACTGGTGCAACTCTGTATACAATGACAACTGGTGCAACTCTGTATACAATGACAACTGGTGTAACTCTGTATACAATGACAACTGGTGCAACTCTGTATACAATGACAACTGGTGCAACTCTGTATACAATGACAACTGGTGTAACTCTGTATACAATGACAACTGGTGCAACTCTGTATACAATGACAACTGGTGCAACTCTGTATACAATGACAACTGGTGTAACTCTGTATACAATGACAACTGGTGCAACTCTGTATACAATGACAACTGGTGTAACTCTGTATACAATGACAACTGGTGTAACTCTGTATACAATGACAACTGGTGTAACTCTGTATACAATGACAACTGGTGCAACTCTGTATACAATGACAACTGGTGCAAAACTGTATACAATGACAACTGGTGCAACTCTGTATACAATGACAACTGGTGTAACTCTGTATACAGTGACAACTGGTATAACTCTGTATACAATGACAACTGGTGCAACTCTGTATACAATGACAACTGGTGTAACTCTGTATACAATGACAACTGGTGCAACTCTGTATACAATGACAACTGGTGTAACTCTGTATACAATGACAACTGGTGCAACTCAAATGAAATTAAAGTATTCTGTATACAATGACAACTGGTGCAAAACTTTATACACTGACAACTGGTGTAACTCTGTATACAATGACAACTGGTGCAACTCTGTATACAATGACAACTGGTGCAACTCTGTATACAATGACAACTGGTGCAACTCTGTATACAGTCCCAGGCCTACCTAATGAGAGCAAGGCTACATTTTCATTACCTGTTCTGAAATATTGAAGAGGTGTGATGAGTGGTAAAGGACAGACCACTTGCATATTTCAAGACAGGTAATTAGCCTCTGTCCTAATTTCCCAGTCTGCTGAATGTCTTGTGATGCTGGCAAACTGGAACTTAGACTTACACTATAAGTTGTATGCTTCTCCTTCGGGTAATACGGCCTGATGTATCACTCTTTGTAGCAGTGTCACCCTAAGCGGTACCGATGGCTGTTGATCAGGATCACACTGCTACAAAAAGGCTCACTCACTCACTCATTCACTCACTCCTACTTCAGAGACTTCATGAGTCCCACATGACACAAGATGTGTCCTGTATTTGAGTGAGTGAGTGAGTTTAGTTTACGCCGCACTCAGCAATATTCCAGCTATATGGTGGCGGTCTGTAAATAATCAAGTCTGGACCAGACAATCCAGTGATCAACAGCATGAGCATCGATCTGCGTTAGTGGGAACCGATGACATGTGTCAGCCAAGCCATTAGTCGCCTCTTACGACAAGCATGGGTTACTGAAGGTACATTCTAACCCGGACCTTCACAGGTTCCTGTATTTGAGACTGGATGAGTGTTTTTATATGCCACAAGATGAGTTCCCTCAGTCTATGGATCCACCATAGATATTATACATCCTGCATTATTCACTGTATCGCATTATCTTTCAAGGGTAATGTTCAAACCACTACATTATCATTACCCATGTCAGTAGCTTGGTGTGTCTAACTTTTCATTCTCAGCTCCATGGGGAGTATACAATCCATGCTGAAAGACACATTACCATCCCGTCCACTGCTGGGTGAATAAAACAAGCTCATATGTGTTTCAGTGTTACATTTGTCAAGACTGCCTGACTGAGTTTGGTTTTACGCCGCATTTAGCAATATTCCAGCAACATCACGGCTGGGGACACCAGAAATGGGGATCACACATTGGACCCATGTGGGGATTCGAACCCGGGTCTTCGGCATGGCGAGCCAACGCTTTAACCATTAGGCTATCCACCCCCCCCATTTGACAAGATGTTTATTGAACTGTACTGTATGGGAAGTGGTGTGTGTTTCAGCTTTGAGGACATATCATGTCTGGGGGAGTCCACCAGCCTGTCCGAGATCTCCCTGGATGGAAACCCCATTGCCCAGGAGCAGTACTACAAGCAGGCCGTCCTCCGACACATGCAGCAGATCAAACAGCTGGACATGAAGAGAGTCAGTGTAAGTAAAGACCAGCTGGACACACAGAGTTTGTATCAAATGTCTCAGTATAGCACATGTCCCAGTATTACACATTATCCCATATAGAATATAGAATGATGATAAGTTTATGGATATACAACTTCTTTTATTCTGTGAAAGGGGACGTTTAGACTAGTGGTGGTGCGATTGATTGAAATAATCGAAGATTGGTCACTGTGACTAAACGACCAAGCAATCGATCTTGTTTTCTCATAATCGAACACAAACCATTTTGGAACACTTGTTTGCATGAACAATAATTTTCACAAGGTTGCATTGGTCTGTGTCATTGAATATACATTTCAAAAGCAATACAAGCCTGTTCCAAGTCATGATTGAATTTATCTTAAAGACTCCAGGAAATTTATGTTCCTAACATACTAGTAATCCTTTAAAGATGTGAAACTTGCCAATGCATTTTGTGTAATTTGCAAAAAAAACAAAACAAATACTTTTGTGAATTAACAACATAACTGGAAAATCTGATAAATAACACTAACCAATTATTTTCAATGATTGATCGGTTGTAATGATCCGATCATAAATTATGAGATTTTAACCAATTCCCAACACTAGTTTCGACACAGATTCTAATGTCGTTATGAAGCAAGTGATACGTAAGAACAAATTTGCTAATTATTACATATATATCCCTGTACCCCCAGGAGGAAGAGCGGCGGATCGCCCTGGTGATGGCGAGGAAGGAGGAGGAGAAGAAGAGGGAGGTCAACAAGATATCAGTGATGAAGGTGAGGCAGTCGTCAACTTACTAGGAGCTGTACATAGTGTGTCTTCAACCTGGATAGTATTTGTTTGTCACAGTGTTCCAGCTACATGAGGGGCGGTGGGGTAGCCTAGTGGTTAAAGCATTGGCTCGTCACACCGAAGACCCGGGTTCGAATCCCCACATGGGTACAATGTGTGAAGCCCATTTCTGGTGTCCCCCGCCGTGATGTTGCTGGAATATTGCTGAAAGCGGCGTAAGACCAAACTCAGTCAGTCAGTGAGTCCAGCTACATGACGACAGTCTGTAAATATCCCAGACCGGAAAATCATGTGATTGATATTTTGCTCAAGATCCACGCAGTCAGGTTATTCTGACACGCCAGCAACCAAGTCACTACCAAGTAACAATCAAGCATAGGTGTCTGGGTACCAGTTGGAACTGTGAATCTCCTTGTTTCACTTCATCAAGAATATAAATAAACTTTACTGGAGAGACTGACTTCAAGTCTCCGAATTACCCCAAATCCCATGGAGATTCCTGGCAGAACAGCGTTTTCCATCTTAGGTTCTAAAAGCCAGCTGTACTGTGTATCCAGTGGTTACAATGGGCTTTGAGTAGGAGTGATACAATGTGAAGACTGTCAGCCATAACCACAGTAGTAATATGGTGGCAACACACCCCAACTCATAATAATTATCATACAATTCTTGGTCCAGTTTTAAAAAAATGTCGGACATTCATCTGTGATATTCCAGGGGTGAAACACTACAGATATTCAGTATTCAGTATGATTCTAGTCTGTCGTACAGACCCTGAAGCAAATATATCCAAGAAAGTCCGCACAAGTCTAGAAAATGTGGCATGTCTAGATTTCCTCAGCTTCTGAAAATGAAGAAAGTCTCAGGGGCTCCTTTATATTATATTTTATTGTTTTTTACTATGAACTTATTTCAGTAAAATATGTTCATTTCAGAGACTAGTTGTTAGTCTAGTATGATTCCAGTTCACTTGCTATGTTGTGTAGGAGAAGAGGCGGATTGCCATCAACAATGCCAAGCGCCAGTGGGAGACAATGCAGGGGTCATTAATGTCACGGACGGGGAGGCTAGTGTCGGGACAGCCAGAACTCTACGCCAACCACATCGGCACCATCAACAACTCCGACTTCATGTCTCAAAGTCCTGATGGAGATGACAATGACTCCATTACAAGGTGAGCAAGACTGACAAATGGAATGATTCTACATACAGCGTCAGATATGCGGAGAGTTATATCAAGGGTATGTATGTATGGTTAACATTGCTAACAAATTTCACTTGCTGGCTTGATGAGATCTATCCATAGCAGGAAATCCCAAACGAGGTACATTCAAATGTTCTCAGACAACAACAACAACTATCATTGTTCCACAAATGTAAGTGGGCAATCTTACCTATACATCACTGGTGTTGCTGCTACAAGGAGCTTCACAAATGGCATCTCATTTGTTGTTGTCAGTGACAAGAGGTTGACAAGTCGGCCGGGCAGTGCACGAAGTAACACCACCACAGAGTTCTCCGGGGACGGGTCACGTGATCGGCCTCGTACCGGCAGCAGAAGGGGAGAGAAGACACAGGGAGTTCATAAGGAAACCATGCTGTTCGGGTGGGTGGAGTATTCTTTGAAGTAGACGCAACAGATCCAGGGGTCAAGGCTGCCTCATGGCTATGCAAAGTTGTGTCAGTTAGCCATTACAAGATTGTATTTGGGATTTGCATCGCTGAATTATCCAGATTTTTCTCCCTGGCTTTTTTGTTTTGTGGGGATTGGTGGGGGGGCCATGTTTTTATTCACTTCAGTAAGATGTTACATTTCTACATGTTCAGGCACAGTTGTTTTCATGTACGTTGTCAGGAAGAGTATGTACAAGGCAGATTGAAATAGAAGACCTTTTCAAGACCATTTAGTTGCTTGGTGTAGGAATATACAGTACAACCAGAAATTATTGAGAATTTAAAGATTGTACATTTTTTTCACTCATTACTCACGTATTAAATGTGAATATTAGCAGAACATAACTCCAGATTCAAAGACAGGTGAATAGTTAGTATTTTGTCAAGTCACCATGGGCAGCAATGCAGGCTTCAATGCGGCGGGGCATACTACTGATGCTGTCCCAATATCGGACCACCTCTTCTTTCATTTCAGCAATATGTCAGATTTTTCTTATTGACACTTTCCTTCATAAGTCCCCAAACATTTTCTGTTGGATTTAAGTCAGGGCTACAGCTTGGCCAATCTAATAATGTCATATTTTGGGTCCGAAACCAGGCCTGTGAATGCTTCGAACGATGTTTTGGGTCGTTGGCCTGCTGGAAAATCAAAACTTTCCATAGAACATGTGAGCAGATGGTAGTAAATGTCCCTTGAGAATATCTGTGTACCGCTCACTGTTCATATTCCCTTCAAATACACAGAGGGGCGTTGCCCCTAACACAGATATGCCACCCTACACGTTAAATTTCAGACTGTACTTTGGGCGCTGATACAAAGTTTTTCAGTTTGTTTGGTCCAGAATTTCAGTGTATTAGGAAACAGCCACACAGAACTTTCATCTGAGAAAATCACATTGTCCCAGTTAAAATTTCTATGCTGTAAGCACCAGTTCAACCTTCGCTCCTTTTGTTCAGGTTTCATGATCGGTGATGCAACCCATTGCAGACTTAAGTTTTCTAAACTCCTTCGTTTGTTTCTAGAAACAAGAATACCAAGCCGCCTCCTGTCACCGACAGTCAATTTTCTGGGCCTACCTGCGCCTCCCTGGTGCTCAATGCCATATCCATTTGCAATATTTTTTAAAACACAATAAACAGTGGACAAAGGGCTGCCTGTTCTACTTGAAATCATTTTAGCTGATCTGATGTCCTTGTTATAATACTCTAAAATTAACTTCCTCTTCTCTAAATGATCCATACTGAGGATCACTGAAAATGTCGTCTGCTAGCAAGTAAACAAAGGGGGATAACTTTTCACAAACTAATGAAAAAGGATTAACGGAGTTGTCTCTCTTGAATGAAACCAAGCACTTGATAGCTGGTCATGGTTGTTTAAACTAGAAATCCAATTAAACATATTCCTAAAATACTCAATAATTTCTGGTCACACTATAATACACCAACGATTTAGTTGCTTGGTGTATATAATTATATATATGCACCAAGCAACTAAATGGTCTTGAAAAGGTCTTCTATTTCAATCTGCCATGTAAAGTGCCTTGAATTTCTCAATCATTGTTAAGTGTGCTGATAAAATAGATCAACTACAAATATATTTCTGTCTGTGTATTTGGATGTTGAGCTATTCTGATATTTTAATAAAGTAAGAATATTCTGAGAAATCTGTTTGAAAGCATGCTTGGGTCTTACCTTTTTAGTCTTTAACCCTTATCCCACCAAGTGGGTCATTTAAGGCCCGAAGTGCACTTTGATGGTATGCCAAAACTTCATTTCTTTATATAAATGTTCAGTATTCAATGTATTCCTGAAAATCCCAATACTGATTGCTGTGAAAAAGTTTCAGTTTAAGTATTTTGAAATAATTACCATTAATTTTAAAAAGCAAATATTATTGCATTAACTGCTTTGCCGGGCCTCTGAGGCCCGGTCACCCTCAGCTTCCAGTCAACACCACTTGATAAAGCTTCCTTATGAATACATTGCATAGTAACTGCCAGTCAAAGATGAATCGTCGAACAAGTTTGAGAAGAGGAACACTTTTTATGAATAGACAAATTCTTTACTACAGTGGATGCGACGTTTCTGCGTAGATCCTAACACTGTTATCAAGCAAATGATACACAACATAAGCACAAGGAGAAATACTTGAAGGGTATTTGGGTTTATATGTACGAGTCTCCATATTTGCATTGAATGTAGCAGACAACACCTGAAGGGTCTTCTTTGTTGCTTGTAGCTGGTTTACTGTTGGCTTGTAGGATATGCTGAATTGATGTTCCTCTCTGGAATGCAGCATCTATGTTGGCTTGCTTCTTTAGTAATCTGCGGATATGGTGGCTGGTTGTATCGACATATGGTATACTGGTGATGAACGGGGATGATTGTTGACGTGGTGGTTTGTCTTTTGGGTTGAGGGTGGTCTTGATGGTTCTGTTGACTAGATTAGCTGGGTACTGATTAAGGCTTATGAAGACATGGCGAAGGTGTTCTAACTCGACTTCAAGGCCTTGGGTTGTGGAGCTGATGTTCTTTGCTCTTCTGGCTAGGGTGGCGATTATACCTCTCTTGACTTGCAGTGGGTGATTAGATGAGAAGTGAAGATATTGGTCTGTGTGGGTTGGTTTCCTGTAGACAGTTGTTTGGAGTTTGTTGTTGTCTTTTTCTACTTGGACGTCGAATTTCATGCGTGGGTGTTGGGCATTAAGGTGTTTGAGAAGGCAGATGGGATCATCGGTGGGGTTGATTATGATAAAAGTGTCGTCTTCTTTCCGGAACCAGCATATTGGTGTGGCGGGTAAGGTGAGGAGGGTCTTGTCTTCGGGTTCTGTCATGTAGATCTTGGTGATGATGGGGGAGAGAGGTGATCACATAGGTAGACCATGGGTTTGTTGGTAGATTTTATCAGACCGGGTGAAGTATGTTGAACTTATACAGGAATGGATGAGGCGGATGATGCTTTCTACTGTGAGATGGGTGTTTAGGTTTAGCGCGGATGTCTTCAACTTTTCTTCTAATGATGGCTAGGGCTTCGTCTCTTGGTACATTGGTGAATAGATCAATCACATCATAACTCATTATTTTGCCTGGCTGGGTGATGGTGCTGATCTTGTTGCAGAATTCGTTGGAGTCCGAGATAAAGGATTTAGGTAATTTACCTGGAGGGGCGAGAAGGCGGTCGAGATGCTTGGTGGTATTGTAATGGACTGTGTTTCTGGAACAGACTAGGAGACGGGCTTTGATGGGGTCTTTGTGGACCTCGGGCGTAGGGTAGTCTAGGATGGGGAACTGTGAGCTGCTTGTGTAGAGTCAGACCTATGTCGTTTTGTCCCTAAGTCCTTACAGAAGGGTTTTGTGGTCTCGTGGAAGCAAGGTGGTGGGGTCTTTCTGTGTCATCTACTTTCCAGAAACAGCATACTGGTGTGACGGGTGAGGTGAGGAGGGCCTTGTCTTCTAGTTCTGTCATGTAGATCTCGCTGATGATTGGGGAGAGATGTGATCCCATAGGTAGGCCATGGGATAAGAGAACTCTTAGAGGCAATCAACATCAAACGGCTCAACCCGACAATCAACAGAGATCAATGTTATTACATCCCTACAGCTTACAATCAACTAATCAAGAATAACCCACCCTTTGTCTACTGGCGTCAATCATTTATTATCACAACAAGTCTCATGTCAACACACATCAACCTCTTCTATTGTATAAACCCAAATACCCTTCATGTATATATTTCTCCTTGTGCAGATGCTGTGTATCATTTGCTAGATAACGGTGCTAGGATCTACACTGAAACGTCGCATCCACTGCAATAAAGAAGTTGTCTATCCATAAAAAGTGTTCCTCTTCATCATACCAGCTTCTAAATGCCACTTAAGGAAGTTTGAGAAGCAATATTCGCGATGTTTTGCTCCAACCTGCTGCTGCAGATGATGATGGTAGTGGTGCTGATGCAGTACCTTCTGACAGTGGATCAGATTCTGAGTTCGAACCTCCCTTTGAAGAAAGTGTTAGTGACAGCAGTGACTGTTCTAATAGTGAAGAAGAACGTAATATCCTGTCAGGTCCTTTGATATAAATCAAAGGGGTGACCGGGCCTCACAGGCCCACTTGACGGTAATGGATATGAAGAAATCTTGGTGGGATAAGGGTTAAGAGTGTGATCATTAACTCAATAAGAACTGTCTGAAGGTTTGAAACATGCAGGCTACAGTTTGCGTGGGGTGTATGTTTCAGGAAGTCAAACACAACCAATGGCAAGGAGCTGAGTAACCTGGCTGACCTTGAGGGCGACACTCTCACCTTGTACGGTCCGCAGTCTCTGGAGGCACTCGACAAGAACTGGGGCATCCAGGCGGCCGGCACTGTCATGTGCATGGTGTTTAAGTTTGTTGACTTTGAGGAAATTGCCAAGCACCTGCACAAAGTTCGGACACGGTTTCCAAGCACACAGGTAATCTGTAGGAGTGACTGGGGCACTTCAGTTTGATGACAGTTAGTCCATTTAGGTTGGAATAGTAATTCAACTACAGAAATGATAGTCACAATACCAGTACACAGACATCCTGGCTTTTGTTGATGTCTCAGCAGGTCCTCTGCTTGATAGATTCAGGGGCAGTGGAGTAGCCTAATGGTTAAAGTAGTGGCTCATCACACCAGGTTCCAAGTTTCCCCGGGAGTAAATTATTCAAAGCCCCAATTTTGGTGTCCCTTGTCATGATATTGCTCAAGTATTGCTCAAAGCAGCATAAATTCTCATTCACCCACTCATGGATTCAGTGAATTGTCGTCATAAAGATTTTGGATGAATCATTCATTGTGGGGTACTGGTGTCCATTTTTTCTAATTGTATTCTTGTTTGGTATCAATGTCAGTTATTGATATTTAAAATTGCATTACATTGATAGTTGGATGATTTATGACATCTTGAGTTGATAGAGGATATATATGTAGGCACATACATATCAGGCATGTAGATGTAACCCCCTCACCTGCCCTTCACAGACCCTAGTCTTCAGCTCCACCAACATCAACAGCCTGCAGCAGATCAACGCCCTCGCCAACATCCGCCGCATTGACAACCTCACCATTGACCTTGACGGCAACCCAGTCACCAAGTTCACGCTATGGAGGATGTACACCATCTTCCGTCTGGCTCACTTCTCCCTGAAGAAGATCAACGACATTGAGGTAGTGTTTCCTGTCTTTATCAGCTGTTACAGATCACTGGTGAGAGTGTACACAGGTGATGAAGGTGATAAATTGTGATATATTGAATGGAGGGTTTCTGCCCAAGTGCGTAAATCATAAATTCATAATGACTCTCTGTGTGCGACATCATCTTCTTAGTTGCTGTTACACCATACTTTCAGGGTCCCAGTCCCCATTGTCTATGGGTGTATGCCATGTTTATACCCTATAGAATCATTTTACACGTGAATTGGATGCAAATACTGCTTGAATATTGCTACTTTTTGGCGATTGATATTGCTATGTTTAAACAGAAAATGGAAAAATGTTTCTTTGCAAGCAAAAATGTTAACAAAGATAATATTAGTTTTTTTCACAATATCAAAGACACGTTTTACTTGTTTTCACTAATGCATATCAGCAGAAAATGTTTTAAAAGACTGAAATCATAGGCATGATTCTTTTACAATTTACACACTCTACAACAGTTGTTTCTTGTTTAAATAGTTGAAAAATGGTGACTTTAAATGGTTTATCTTCACTCAAAGCAGAATTTTAATTCAGCCATACTTTTGTCACCCGTTTTGTCCTGCGGAGCTGTGGGGGGGAGTACACACCTACTTTGGGGGGGAGAGAGCAAGTTTGTATACAGCAATATGTTTAAAATTATGCTAAGAAATTATGTGAAGGGGATGGTGGGGTCATTGACTTTGTACATGACATGTAGGGGGTGTCACTTATTTTGTACATAAATTTTAGGAGAGGGGTTGGGGGTCATTCACATTGTACATGCTTCTCCATAAAAATCATCATCACCCCCCCAAGCCATAAATTATGAACAGCCCCTTAATTTCTTCAAAATGTCACATATGAAACCATTCAAACCCACAAAACGTAAAGCATTTGGTAGAATATTTGGCACTTTTGGAGCCACTTATAAAGATACTCCCACTTGTAAACTTTTACAAGAAACCAACAGAAATAAAAGTATATTTGGCACTTTTAGAGCAGATTTTTTTGCTTTGGAAACCAGGGGCAGATAATGCAAAGGGAGCTAACTCTGGATGACCCAATATATTGTAGAATCTGAACCATATCGCGATAATCGTCATCGCGGGATACTGTACCGGTATATACCGGTTTACCGGTAATATTGCACAGCCCTAGTCTACAGTAACTAGCAAAATAAAATGAGGCAAGTACTTATTCATGGACAACAGAACAAATGTACCAGTGGCAGTGTATGAAATAAGCCAAAAATCCAGCCAGACATCAGGGCAGGTAACTTCAAAATGTTACCAGCCCAAAATGGATTTAACTAGACCAAATATGGTGAATTTACTCAGATGTATGAAACATCTAAAATTGTTACCAGACCATCGGGCAGGCTAGCTGTAAATTTAGACCGTCCATCAGAAATCTAGACCGTCTCGGGCGGTCAGACGGGCCTTACTTCATACACTGCTAGTGGAATGGTGTTCCAATTGAGAAAAAGACGTGTCTGTTACAGGAAACCTGTATACTTGAAGGACATTCATGAAGGTGGGTAGCTGCTGTTGTATTGGTTACCTCGCATGTGTTTTCAGGTCTCACCAACAGACATAGTAAATGCAGAGAAGCTGTTTGGTCCACTGTCCTTTATCATCGGCTACAAGACTCCCCAGCTGAGGTCAGAACTAAGGTGAGAAAATGATACTTAACATCAATGGGTGGATGGGCTGATGGTCAAACAGCGAGTTATGGTGGGGGACAAACAGTCTAAATTTGTGATCTTTATTTGCCTGAAAGTTCTTGTTTTCATGCTTAGGAAAAAGGGGAGTATGTCCTTTGAAGACAAGCCTCGCAAGTCTGGAGACAGCAAGCAGGCTCAGATAGAGCTGGAGGGACGATCTCGCCTCGTGTACCTGGTACCTGGAGAGGCGGCAACAGCCAATAAGGTAGGACACTGGAATGTTTTCAAGTAGTCTTGATGTACACACAATCTTAGGTGTGACACCAACACTACAGGTGACTTAAAGTGAAAAGTGTCTCATGAGCTTACCATGTTATTAAACTGTGTATTGTTTTGTATTTTCAGGATAGTTCCAAGATACAGTTTGCCCGGAGTTATATTAATGAACTTACAAAAGAAGCAATTTTTGCGGATAAGAAACGGGCTGAGTTGCAGCGTCTGTGGCCCCAGATGTTCTATGAGATGGTCCAGAGCACGCTGTCTGACATGCAGGACATGAAGGCCTACATGAAGAAGTGTACTGAAGACCTGGACAGGTCCTAACACAGCCATGTGCACGGTCTGCTGTCACCTGGATCACGGTCTTTCGCTAACAGAGGCATGGTCTGCTGTCACCTGGAGATCTGTCTCTCTGGACCAGGGGATGGTCTGTCCCCACGAGCACGGTCTTTCGCTACCAGAGGCATGGTCTGCTGTCACCTGGAGATCTGTCTCACTGGACCAGAGGATGGTCTGTCCCCATGAGCACGGTCTTTCGCTACCAGAGGCATGGTCTGCTGTCACCTGGAGATCTGTCTCTCTGGACTAGGGTATGGTCTGTCTCCACGAGCACAGTCTTTCGCTACCAGAGGCATGGTCTGCTGTCACCTGGAGATCTGTCTCACTGGACCAGGGGATGGTCTGTCCCCATGAGCACAGTCTTTCGCTACCAGAGGCATGGTCTGCTGTCACCTGGAGATCTGTCTCACTGGACCAGGGTATGGTCTGTCCCCATGAGCATGGTCTTTCGCTACCAGAGGCTTGGTCTGCTGTCACCTGGAGATCTGTCTCTCTGGACCAGGGGATGGTCTGTCTCCATGAGCATGGTCTTTCGCCACCAGAGGCATGGTCTGCTGTCACCTGGATCACGATCTTTCGCTACCGGAGGAATACTCTTCTGTCTGGAGATCTGTCTGGACCAGGGGATGGTCTGTCTCCACGAGCACAGTCTTTCCCAACACCGGTGTATATCTTTCACCTTCCAGGGGCATCTTCTGTTGCCATTCCTGGGCATGGTCTAAAACCACCTAGGGGGCACATTATTATAACAGTAAAAGGCAGGAAAACTTTAACATAAGAAGAAATGACAGTGAAACAAACCCCACACCTCCCTGATGGTCTACCCTACTGTACTGCACCCAACCACCCCTTCCCTCTCCATATAGCCCTCTTGCTATTTCACTGCTTTACTCAAGCCTGTACCATGCCTAACCCTATTCCACTGTGTCCTACCCTATCTCTCCTAGACTGTCTCCCTCTTGTAAAGTCCCCTTACATACAATCCACCCCACCTCCCCTCCTACCAATCTCCTAGATTGTCTCCCTCTTGTAAAGTCCCCTTACATACAATCCACCACCACCCCCCACACACACACTCCCCCTCCTACCAATCTCCTAGACTGTCTCCCCTCTTGTAAAGTCACCCTTACATACAATCCACCCTCCTCCTCCCCCTCCTACCAATCTCCTGGGCTTTGAAGTCACCTGCCCCTTCCCTACTGCTCCCCATCCCTCTTAGACTGTCTCCCTTCTTGTAAAGTCCCCTTTACCTAACAATCCCCCTCCTGCATCCCCCTCCAGGTAAGAGCATCTCCCTCTGCTCCCTGTAGTCATATTTTGATCTCATCACCACATCTGTATACACAACTCTATGTACATAGTCATGTCACCTTGTGAAACTGACGGAAAGAACTGTGTGCTTGTTTCTCAGGTAATCTATGCTACTGTATGTTTGAATTAAACTTAAGTCTTTCTCCTTGTCCAAGGCAAGATATGTAAATGGAAGTGTGTGTGTGTGTATATTGTTCACATATTGTTATATTTCATGACAGAAGACTTGTATTCATTTGTTTGTTTACATAAACATGAACTAAACTATGACGAGCATCAGTTTATCTGTAGAGTTCAAAATGTAGATATACATTCCTACAGTGCAACTGATAGAAGTAACAGTGCCAAAATACCAGTTTAACATGGTTTTAACAGTTGTGTTAGTCAGCCAGTTGCAAAAGGTCTTGTTACTGTTATAGCCCTTGTGATACGCTTCATCTCAGTTACCCGGGCATGTGGAAGGAGCGTTGGTTGATCTGGCAGAAAGTCAAACTTTCATGTCCTCCCGATTGGTTCCAGACCCATGTTTGCCTCCAATGGGGACTTCTGGGTAGAGTTGATCCCCAGAACCCAGTCCCCCAAAACAGATTAAGGGGTAAAGTAGGTCCCAGGATTCTGAGTCAGCAAATTTGGAGATGAAGCAGTGAGGCCTGGAAATGATTGTTGGTATGGATGACTGGCCCTGACAAGAAGCACATGTTAAACACAATCACTCACTGTGATGTGTGGACCTCAGTCAACATAAGCGAGTCATGAGCCAGGGCTAACAAAGATTGATAAAAAACAGCAATCTGCAGAGATCATTTACCCACCATCTTCAGCCTTCTGTGACCAACATTATGTGTCTAGTCCAGGTAATCAGTCACACATATGTACGTCCTCATTAAACAGATAGACTGATGGACCTGTCCCCTTTAACTTAACGTTGTCCTATTGTGAATAATTGGCCAGTGTATGCAGTCCAAGGCCACTGGGGCGGTTGTCTCGATGTATCACTACACCATGTGAATATGTATTATTTTACAAAATGGCTGTATAATTTGTGAATATTATAGCTATGTAAATACAAGGAATTTATTATTTATTTAAAATGAACATTTTATGTTCCTTGTGTATGTGTATGATAAGTCATGAAAATACTGTTACTGATTGTATGAAAAATTCACAAGATTGTTTTGTATTTTTAAGGTTCACCTTTAAGAGCATTATCTGTTATTCCTTGCATCATGCTTTGATGGGACCTTTTTCTGTGCCCTGCATGATTCCAACACCACATAATGTTGAATATGTCAATGTTGAGATAAATCTCGGGACTGATCTTTCTGCTGTGTCAGCATGCTGTCAACAGTCCAAATTAAAGACCTACTGTCTTACAACTGAATGATATATTTCCTTTCATTTCTGTACAGATCATTCAAATTACCTTGTAGGAAATTAACTTATACAACCATTGACAGATTCAAACCAACTCTGGTTCAGGTGTACTGGTTATGTCACTGTCAAAACAAGGATTTGGTTAATACATTCTGGAGAATTGGTGGTGTTAGTATATTGGAGACTACCATTACTAATTTCGTTTTCATGTGATTCTTGTTAAAAATCAAAACAACATTTTCAATGCATTTGTTTGTTAAGCTTGTAGACAACATATAGTGCTCAAAAGAAGTTAAAGAATTTTTTCATATGTACATCATGTTCTTTCACTTCTTTTGAGTAGTATATGTGGCACATAAAACTTTGACTAGGCCAGACCAATTTCATTTTTTGTATTACGGATTCGCCGGTTGTATTTTTTCAAGAATAAGAAAAAATAATTAATTTTCCCCGCTCAAAAAATAAAATCCTCATGTTTTTATTGGCCCAAAATGTAAACTTACAAAAACAATTTTTGGGGATTGTTTTTTGCCCCATATAAATAAATATAATATAAATATAAATTGCCAAAAATAAAATATGTTTAGTATTTAAAAGGAAAATTATTTTGACTAGTGATTTTTATTTTTTCTCTCCTGCCTTGTTTTCTGAGGACAAAAATGTGTCAAACAAGAAATAAAATTGGTCTGGCCTAATAACTTAAGAAAATATATTTCCCAAGGGAGCAAACAACCCCACTTCATCCCTCACATAAGAGTTTAAATTTGGTTTCATGTTTTGCTGATGCATTTGTTCTCTGTACCACTTAACACTTTCATCACCCTTCTTTGTACTGCTGAAGATATGAAGTAATATTCGACTGACAAATAAAACATTTCTCACATTAACATATTGTTTCACAGCTTAAATGTGTAAGAGGATATCATGTGATGAATGTCACTGTCAGTTAACTGTGAGGAGCGAGACAAGTATCACTGAAAATATATACCCTGATACACTGATGAGGGCCAAGAATCAGTCTTGCTGTACCTGTGTTGGTGACCCTAGTTACAAGAGCGCATTGGCAACTAAAGGAACAGCGCGAAAAGTGAGATGCACGTGCGTTAACGGGTTCTCAACAAACTTTTGAGCTGGCGAGATGACACGAACCCCAGCTGCACAGATAGTGCGCTGTATGTACTTAGTAATTGCATACTTGGGTCACTCCATCATTTTCATCCTTGAAAAAAATCATAGACTTTGTAAATCAGCAGTAATCACGTCACTAATGCACGTGCATCTCGCGCTGTTCCTTTAGTTGCCAATGCGCCCTTGTAACAAACTGGGAAAACGCACAAATAAATGATGACAGTTTCTTAAACAACTTTTTTATTTTTGTGACACAAATTATGCAAAAAAATTCTAGAGTTGGTCTGTTTTTAGTGTAGTCCGCGTTGGTTTGATTCTTTTATGTTTATTTGTTTTTGTGTTAGATTGCAATTCATCGGTATCACTTTGTCTCAAACGGACTGTAGTAGATTCTGGCTGCCAGGGGACATAACTCTCCACACCTTACACCAAACAAGGGATCTGGCGTTGAGGAATAATGGTCTCAGCTTTTGATGAATATCTATCTTCATGAGCACTCTGTCAGCACCACCATGAACTAGAATAGCCAAAAAAATATACTACACTGCTATCTCAGATCAAAATTTATTCGGAAGATCAAAAATCTATTACAGCCCTTTTTTCCAAAACATGATGAAAAAACATCCATACAGACAAATGACGATGTTAGTATTTACAGACTTTCTAATGCAACACCGACCCGAGGCAGCTGAAAGCTCCACTCGGCCATTGAGGAGGCACACAGGACAGAAATTGTACAACTTAAGAGTATTTCACAAATAGTGAAAATATATAAATACAGTATCAAGAATATGATCCAACTTGTTCAAATGTCAGGACACAAGTCACTAAAGCAATTAATATAATTTACAATAGATTTATTACTAACTGATAAAAGGTTCTAGAAGAAACTTAAACTGTTTTATTGAAAATCTTTTGAAGCATTATTTACTTTTACGATTGAAAGCTTGAGAGAAGTCCCTACACGTTAGTACTAAGTTATTCTGGTACATGATCTACCTACATAACAGTATAAGAATAGAATATGGAGGAGCATAAACAACACTGACCAGATAACAAGGAGCTGATCCCAGTGACGGAGGAGGGAAAGCATCATGTACCCAATGAATGGTTATACAACATGTACAATAAATAACAGTCCATGGTCTGCCCTACTAAAACATTACCAAGGCAATAACACTGGGAAAGCTTTCTCACGCCACAATATACTTGTACATATTCAGGGTTTGAAATTAACATAATTCGACTCGTGTTAGACTAGTTCAGGACATAAGCCTGGCATGTCATTTGTTCCGGACAAGTAAAACCAAATTAATTTCTGACCCTGCTATTTTGATGTTTAACAATGTACAGTATCTTGTAAGTTAAGATTCTTTGAATTACATCTCATTATGATCATTTCTGAAAATCTTTTCCAACTGTTCATCTGCAATGAGCACTGAAACACCATCCAAATTCTTCAATTCAAGTACTCGACATATATGTCTGGATGAATATCCTACTATCCCTCACAGACATAGACAATGTCATTTAATCAAAAATATGAACAGTGTCACATCATTTTTACCAGATACCATGTCATGATAGTTGATCTTCCACATCACGGCCAATTCATTCCAAACTGTTAATCAGGATATGCAAGTATCACACTTCACAATTGTGCTGTTACCACGGTTACCTAACATTGCAGCGAGTACACAGCAATTGCACAAACATCCCTGACAAATAATCGACTACAGCAACTACATGACTACGACTACACATGTCAAGCATATCAATGTTACTTCAAATGTTGATATAAATTACAATGCAGGAAAGTTGGAAACAGTAAGTTTGTTATTGATCAAAATGTTCTAATTATGCATGCAATAGTAAATATGGATAAGATATGACTGGTAAATGTTCCAAAATAATAAATTTGGCTCAACAAAAAATAAATAGAAATATAACTTTACAAGAACTGCCAATAAAATCCAGAAAATACTGAATTAAAGTCGACAAGCAATGGGTTTGCAAAATCAACATAGAGGAATTTACTTGAAGTATAGATTTACCAATGTTACATAAACAACCTCATGAAAAAATTAAAAATGTCTTGAAAATATGAAATGTATAGAAATGACTTTCTTGCAACAAAATACTACCAACATCAACGTGACGTCTTTGTACCACTGAAACTGAAAATAGGGTTACTACAATGCCGACCATACGAAATCCTCAACCAACCAGCTGCTGCGGTTAGCAACATCCCTACCAGCTGCTGCGGCTAGCAACATCCCCTACCAGCTACTGCTTATTCTCAACATCTGTTATTCACTGCACACTCTACTACACTTCAAACTTAGAGAACAACAGTTGCAAAAACCTCAGTTTGAAACTTCTATTTAGTTAACATGATTAAAAAGACGTTTATCTACTTGACTTCATTTCCAAATGTTCAGTTTTCAGTCGAATAAAGAAATCAGTTTTGTACAAATACTTTACAGATCAATACAACAGGTTCTGCCCAATAGGGAGACAAGAACAGAGTGTTGAGCAAACAAAAACGTTGGTCCGGAACTCAGGGTACAACAACATGGTGGCAGCAGCAGCGGCGACGGCAGCAGCAGCAGCATGAAGACTCTCCCGACATGGTGTTGGGCGTGTCATGGAGGATCATTAGTCCAGCTTTGCTGAGTCGACAACACGGCGGACAGCTTCATCCTGAAGTGCATCTTCAGCCACGTCCTTTGCTGGAAGAGAGAATGGGGATTAAATAGATGGCACAAGACACACACTGGATTCACTAGGGTTAAGATTCATTCTCCTGGTAAGTTGAAAACTGAACTGGATGAACTTAATGACAATCAGTGCTCATAGCAGTTAGGATTCTTTCAAGTATTTCTGAACCTTTGACTCAAATTCATTAAAAGAACTGAAATACCAGATGACCAGATGATCCATTACTATACTTACAACAAACAGGTTACTTTGTGGGGGTGGTGTGGGGTTGTAACTAGTTGATTGGTTACTTTACATATAACAAACAGGTTACTTTGTGGGTGTGGGGTTGTAACTAGTTGATTGGTTACTTTATTTATAACAAACAGGTTACTTTGTGGGGGTTGGGTGGGGTGGGGGTTGTGACCAGGGTTACTTTACTTACAACAAACAGGTTACTTTGAGGGGGTTGGGTGGGGTGGGGGTTGTGACCAGGGTTACTTTACTTGCAACAAGCGGGTCACTTTGTGGGTGGGATTGGGGAAAAAGAAAGGGAGGGGAGAGAAAGAAGGGGTGACTAGTTACTAGGGGATCAGTTACTACACTTACAACAACCAGGTTACTTAAAGGTCACATGCAACCAAAAAATCAAACATAATTAAAACACAATTATCACTTATTCATGATTTTACAAGAACTAAACCTCCCTCAAAATATATCTTATGTGAGACGGCTGGTTCATTAAGTGATTTTGACATTTTTGTTGTGTCGTTCAAGTATCACAGTCTGTGTAATTACATAATGTGACAGAGAGGAGCCGAACTCGGGCCATAAATCAAAAATGTTGTTTGATCAGTGATCAGAAGTCTGGCACAAAGACACAGGTGGAATTTACATTCTTTTCACGCTGATTTTCCCCAGAAAAAACTTGAATTTGCATTTTGGCGGCTTTGTTTCGTAAGTCCATACCGAAAGGTATCAGAATCTGGAAAGTTGGTGTTTTTGCATGTAACCTTTAAGATTTACAAGAACTAATATATCTTATGTGAGACAGTGAACACTTGAAAATGTTGTTTGATCTCAGAGGCACAAAGAGGAATTTACATTCTTTTCTGAAACTATTCAGTTCCGTCAAATGGTGTATTTAATGAGGTTCTTTGATTGTTGAAGTAACAGAAGCAGACCTCTTGAAAACCATTATCACCAACATGTTTCCCTAGGTTCTTTTCAAAAATACCAAGCAAATTAGTGAAACACCATATCAAAAGTTTCCCTCCTCGCTGAAAGCTACCAGACAAAGTTTGAAAACACTCAAATGATTGAGTTTGAAAACACTCAAAATGTTGGCCCAATAAAAAACAATTGTTTTTCAACAACAGTTTGTCAAACTTGACCCCCCCAAATACCTGTATTGATAATATTCATGCTTGTAAACAAAAAGAAGAATACTGTTGAGTGAATTTAAATTAAGGACCTCCCAACCTGACTTCACCTGACCTGTCCTGACCGAAGATTGGTAGTCATTTTATTTCATTCTCATAAGGACCTTTCTACCAATGTTAAATATTACCATATAGTCACACTTAATACGGCTCACAGCCAGATGCAAAATAATGTTGGAGGTGGCAGCTCTGACACAACCCTACAAACAATGGGCCACTCATTCCTTGGGTCAGAATGCAGGCCTCAACAAATCTTGTGTATGTACCATTAAACATGGCAAGTCGGATAAATTTATACAAATAGCTGTCTCTACAAACCTACACCATTTTATTTAATGACATCATAAACAAATTACTTGACATATATATGCTATGTTTGATGTTACTCTTTACTCTGAAGACAGTAAGCCCTCCTGTATATATATGTTGATTTAGTAAAATCATAAAACAAATCAAACGAGAAAAAAAGAAAAAGCAAAAGTGTGCAAATAAGTGAAACACGGCAAGCTTGTGAAAAACAAAAAAAATACTGTAACATCATGAAAACAGAATGCTCCTGTAACAAACTTCCACTGTCATGCAGACTCCATAGTATTCCTCATTCAGTGCTATATACATTTATGAAAGACAGGTGAGTTTATTGATGTATCTTAAAATCTGCAGAGGTACCATATTACATGAGCATATTCCAGTTACAGCATGAGTTCCTCCACTGTATGCAACCCACCATGGATACTGCAAACACCCCTACCATGAATCTCACTGCTGCATGAAAGGCAGACAAGCAAGAGAGTTTCACAGACAAAGTCAAGCTCATATCAGAGTTCATTGTGAAGAACACCAACCATGGCTTCACAGATGGTGTTTAGTGAAAGAAACATAGTCATCTGTGCAATGAGTGAATTCACTGAGTTGCCCAGAAAAGCAAGACAGTATGTCATATGAAGGACATAACACATCAGGGGTGGAAATAACCCATTGCCCGACGCCCGAGTCCAGTGTTTTTATCTGTTGGGCAAGCAAATTTGTATATCACACTGTACCGGTATCCAGTTGACTTTCCAATATTAATTTGTTTATTTCCACCCCTGCACATGTCAGCAAGGAACATTCTGCTACAGTAACCCCCCCAACACACCTCCCAGCCACCCTGTGGATGTTGCACTGTCAACATCATCCCCCATAATATTGCACCAACATGAACAATAAATTCTGTTCAATGTTGCTGCTCATTAACCTTCCATATATTGAAGCTAAAATTTAGCTTGAAAACACAGTGTAAGTATCTACTCCAAAATGTAACTCTATGCAATAAACAAGAAGTTGTTATCCATAAAGTCATAATTATTATGCTATAATATTGGCTCACCAACATCTAGATCAATTACCTTTCAAATACTTAGTTAGTATGGCAACATTATTAGAAACTCAAAAATAAAAATGTCTTCACAATAGAAACAGGAAACAATGGAAACAATACTGGATGAAAATTATTAATCCAAACTGTCAAATCTACAAAAGTTACTTCACCATTACATCAGCTGGTAATCTATTGCTCTGGCAATTATTTCCAAGAAGATATTAAAAGTAAACTTAGTTTTTAACACAATTATTAGTAAACAAATCTTTTCTAACTGAACTAAACATCTGTGACAGAATCAAAGTGCCTTAACTGAAACTCACTTACGTTAGTTTATTTTCTTGTAGCCAAACCTAGAGACTGTAACATCACATGGGTTCAGATATAGAATGGGAGATAATGATGGTGATAAAGAACACAAGATATTTGGGGGTGAACCTGATCCTGCCACCAGCTGGGACCCTACACCATCAGGATGCCGGGGGGTCATTAGGCAACTTACCTCTCTTAGCAGACTCTTTGGCAAGTCCAAACACTAGTGTTAATGAAACAAGTTATGTTAAAGTGACACCATCAACCTCAAGCTTTAGTGTTATTAAAGCCAGGACAAGCAAATCATCCCATTGTCATGGTAACATCACACACACCGGGTAATAATGATCCTACAGTCTCCTCCCTGAGCTCCAGATAAACTGAGAATCTGCATAAACATGTGGTAAAACACCCAGAATAAACCACAATTGCCCAAATAATTTGAATTGCCTGCAAACAAACACTCATCAAACGATTAAAAAACAGCAGTGAGCAGTTACCCAATGCTGATGTTTGAGCTTGAATACCTGCATATCTTTCAGCAGGTTTTAAGCAGAAACATATTCAGAACAACGGAACCTAGAGGGTAACGCTATTGAATGTCCAAAGTGAATACTATGTGAAGCATTACTCAGTAGATTAAAAACCCATCTGGAGTCTTGTCCTGTAGGACAAACACATGCACACCACACACATCCACAATCTGGTCAACTTTCCTCGGTTACTCCCACAGTATGAAGAATGCTACTCGTCTAGGGTTATCCTGAACTTGTGGGAACACTGGCCAAGAGATATTTCCTGTCCAAATTTAGCAATTTTGTTATTATACTATTACAGACGACAAAAATTTAAAAAGTTATTCATTTGTATTGTGCTTATATCCAATGTAGCACTGCACAAAAAGTGCTGTTGTCCATGAGTTGTAGTGGGCACAAAACAAATGAGTCTTTAGTTTTGATTTGACGACATCAAGTGTCTGACTTGTTCTGATCTCTTTTGGCAAATTGTTCCACAGCAATGGTCCAGCAAGTGTAAAAGATTTGTCACCATAACTCTTCGTTCTGGATTTGTGCACTTTAAGCAGATGTTGAGTGGTAGTATGTATGCATTAATGTCATTATTTCTACCCCTGAGTCCCCCTGTAGTGACTTCTATAAGAACTTACAAACAATGCATACGTATCAACACATGGATGGTGCACATGCATGCACATGATACAAGTCATCCAACTACACATGGATGAGTGCATGCATACATGGGACCTTCACATGCATGTGTGTACATGACCTACATCAGTACAGGTAGGTCCTTACCTAGGTCTGTACATCTACACTGGTGTAGGTTTTACACACTGACAAATTTACTTCTGTACAAACAAGGGAGAAACACAAGGAATTGCACTCGCCCAAATATTGTTGACATGAAGACAAACAATCAAAAAGGACATTTCACTGGCCTGAAATGAAACCAATAACAGCACAGACTGCTTCAACCATTGGGCAACATGCTGGCTGACTCTGCAGATCTGACTGTAGTACTTCATCCAAACTCACTGCACAACATCTCACACTCATTCGGATGACTTAGATACTTGTTCAGAAAAACTAACCAAAAAACATGTTTCTCCCATTTTACCAAAATAACTCTTTTTTATCTTGTAATTGTTGAATTTATGTATATATTTAGGAAATGGGAATATCCGGTCCAAAACTAGTGAAATCTATCAGAAACAATGACAAAGAGGAGAAAAGAACAGGTCCACATATACACTGATACTGAATACAAGATTGAAGATAAGGCAGGGCAGGCCAACACCACCCACCTTCGTTGAGAGTGTCCTTGGCATCAGCGAGAGCTGTATCTATCCTGTCCTGATGGCGCAGAATGAATGGTCTGATGAACTTGTAGTACAGCATGGTGGAGCCATTACACTGAGCCGGGATGAAGCACCAGACCAGGAAGATGCACTGGAACAAACACAAGCACATGAGACATCTTCAACAGCTGGATGTTAAATAACAGGCATATCAATAGACAGTTTCAGCTGTGATAACAATAGCAATATTCCAGCTGTACCATGTCATGTACTGTACTTCACTTAGTTGTTTGATACTGTACCCTTCAATATTCCAGCTCTATCATGTCATGTACTACTTTACTTCAGATACTGTTGTTTGATACTGTACCCAGCAATATTCCAGCTGTATCATGTCATGTACTATACTTCAGATACTGTTGTTTGATACTGTACCCAGCTGTACCCAGATGTACTATCACTTCAGATACTGTTGTTTGATACTGTATGTCCAGCTGTATCATGTTATGTACTATACTTCAGATACTGTTGTTTGATACTGTACCCAGCAATATTCAGCTGTATCAGCTGATACTGTTGCTGTATCATGTTATGTACTATACTTCAGATACTGTTGTTTGATACTGTACCCAGCAATATTCCAGCTGTATCATGTTATGTACTATACTTCAGATACTGTTGTTTGATACTGTACCCAGCAATATTCCAGCTGTATCATGTTATGTACTATACTTCAGATACTGTTGTTTGATACTGTACCCAGCAATATTCCAGCTGTATCATGTTATGTACCATACTTCAGATATGTACTAGCTGTACTTCAGCTGTCAATATCAGCTGTATCATGTCATGTACTATACTTCAGATACTGTACCCAGCAATATTCCAGCTGTATCGTGTCATGTACTGTACTATCAGATACTGTTGTCTGATACTGTACCCAGCAATATTCCAGCCACATCAAACAGACAATCACATGATTTACATGACAACTTTGATGTGTCATATTGGGAAATGGCAACATGTGTTCCACAAATCCACCGAGCCTTACATCCCACTTCATTTAGTCAACTTCTACGACAAGCACATGTATGGGCTGCACCCACAGTAACCATGGGTGAGTGAGTTTAGTTTACACCGCACTCAGCAATTTTCCAGCTATATGGCAGCAGTCTGTAAACAAGACAATCCAGTGATCAACAGCATGAGCATCGATCTGCGTAACTGGGAGCAATGACATGTGTCAACCAAGCCAGCGACCCTGACCACCCGATCCCGTTAGTCGCCTCTTACAACAAGCATGGGCTACTGAAGGTTCATTTTAACCCGGACCTTCACGGGTCAGTAACCATGGCACTTGTGTCAGTGACATCAACCCCTACACATTGGACTACACATTGGACTGCACCACCTACAATACCTACACTAATACACCAGAAACACTGCCACAGTCTTAACAGGCTTTGACACATAAACTGAATTTGATTCAGAGCCTTGTTCCCCAAAGGTAACATAACACTACAACAACCGTAAACCTGATAAAATATGGGGTCACAAGTACTCTCGACATCATTTTGTGCAAGAGGGAGCAGACCAGCTTCTACACTAAGCTTCTATACTAAGTGGTATTATGTTTAAGGCTGCTGACATCACCCACTGTTAAAGCATCATTGTTTATAGTTAATGTTGCATCTCGCATATATCAACTCAACCAACACATGCTCAATACACAAATGGCTGCGACACAGTCTCCACTTCACTAGATGTCTCACCTTCAGCAGCCAGTAGAATGGGATCCAGAAGAGAAAGATGTCTGCGAAAAACTCCACGAGACTGAAGACACTGTACACCACCCAGTATGTCAGCCACTTGGTGTCGTCGTCCTTCTCACGACTCTCGATCGCCTTGATCCTGCAGTCATACACAGGACAGATTACTATTGCTGCATTGTCAAATAATTTTACATTTACAGCTTACAGCTGCAAAAATCATGCATGTGTTCTAGGACTGATTCCCTGTAGTATATTTTGGGTCACTAAATAAATCATTAAATTAAAGAATTCAGTTACTTTATCCATTACTATGTATTTCACTACAAATGATTCAATAATAATACAGTAAATATACAAACAAATACAGTACTAAATTATCTATTATATCAACATAATACTCAGGTGTTGTCGACCGCCTCCGTGGGGTAGTGGTTAGAGCATCCACCCGGAGAGCGGAAGGTCGCGGGTTCGATCCCCGACCGCGTAATACCAAAAGACGTTAAAATATGGTACTTGTTGGTCCCTGCCTGGTGCTCGGCATTAATGGGTACAACAAGGACTGGTCGGCTCGGAGTCAGTATACTGTGTCTGAGTGGGTTATTGATGCTTAACTGCGGCATGGTATCTCAGTGAGCTAGCACTATAAAACCAGCTTCAGTCTGGGCTAGTACAAGCAGCCGCACATACACATACACACGCATGCACGTCGTCATATGAGCGAAATATTCTCAAGCACGACGTTAAACCCAATTTCACCTCACCTCACGTGTTGTCAGAACTGTCTTGATGGTCATGGAACACTGAAGACTGTTACGCCAACCATCAAGTCACAATATAGCATGAAGCCAATACTTTTTATGGATTCTTATTAACTTGATCATATTTATAATAAACAATATCAGCCTTACATACTTTAATGTAGAAATAGAGAGCGTCTTTGAACTAGACTTAAAAATTATATCAGCATGTTACATCGGAGTCCTGACAATACTTACGAGGCATAAGCAGGATAGAGAAATCCAATGAAGTTACACAGGAACTGCGCTCCATAACCAACCATCAAGTAGAGGGCTAGCAAGGCCACAACACCTGCAAAGACAAACACACACTCAATCATTACTACACAGATACGGGTTCAATGTTCAACCAGCCTAACAGTGACAAACATGGTTCAGTGTTCACACCTACAGGTAATACCTTAGGCTTGGACTTGATGACAGGTGTCTCGTTCTGCTGAACAGATACATCCAGCATCAGGAACCTGAGCCATATTCATCACAAACATCTATAATGTGACACATGCTGGGTTTTATAGGTAATATTCAACAACTAGTGGCTCTGTTTAACACATACTATTCCCTATGTAGATTGATATGAGGCATTTCAATCACTGAGTCTCCAGCTTCCTTTGTTGTAAGAAGTAAACAAATTGATTGGGAGGTCACTTTCAGTGCATTATTACAAGTCATCAGATGTTAACTCATTGGATCATTCTTCATGACATTTATCACTGGCATTAAGGGCTGGTCTTGATCATTACCAAACCAGTGTCACGTAGGTGCAATATTACTGAATACAGGGTTAAAGATATAAAAAGTATAACTACAGGCAGAGGCCCAGATAAGCTACGTATCCGGGTAAAATACACATAGAAAATTTCCAATTACGCATTGAAAATAATTGTTGCGTACCAATTACGCATTTAAAATGTTAGATACGCATAAAGTTTAAAACAAATGTGTGCGGAATATATTAATAAAAATCACATGCCTTATGAAAAAGACATCGATTGCTATCAATGTTGTACTGTTGGTATAGGACTAGTGTTGTACTGTCAGTATAGGATAAGTGATTTTTTTATGAAATCATTTCCATTATATTTAAGTTGGTTTTGATTAGGTATGATATAAGGCAGGACATACCTGCTTAGTAAACTTACTCAATGACATAATACTTAGGTGAGTAAAATGACTGAAATACACACGTTTGAAAGCAGTGGGTAACGGAAAATGAAATACCCACTCAACATTCATAATACCCACTCCAAAAAAATACAGTGGGTACAGTACCCACGAGCTAAATGGTATCTGGAGCTCTGAACAGGGTATTTTATCCTGCTGGACAACTTTAACCATGTGAACTGCAATATCAATATATCATAATAATTCTTATATCAAGTATACTGTTTTCAGAAACATGTATTATATCTCGGCTGCAACAAGAGCCTACACATTAGTTTCGATTAGGGATTGGCTACATCTGGCCTCACAATCATTTAATGAGGATCACCTCCTGCTGACAGAACAAACGTCAGAGTATCTTACTTCCTGTTATTCAGTCAGAGTCCAATAACATCCTAACAACACTGAGCTACCGCCCCACGTAACACAAGTATGAAGGACTTTGGACTACAGCCACCCAAATAATACCAAACAACACACTGTCTCAACATGTTGTGTCATGTGGACAAATCAACAATATGTCATTGTCACTATGTCAGTCACTCACGCTCTGTCTCAACAGAGGTACAGATAAGCTGCGTATCTGCGTAAATTATGCAAAATATTTATGTGAAAACTCAATTTCTATTCAGTCTATTACGTACAAGTACTCTTTAATTTTTGTAAATACTCAATAAATGTGATCTTACATGCGTACACACAAAAATGTCAATCTTAGCTTGGGTACCGGTGGATAGATAAAATAACTGAGGTATACTGAGAGGTTCTATTTCAGGACATGAACTTGACAACTTGCAGTCTTTCTTATCGTTTCTCATATTACAGATCAAATATAAATAACAAACATTAACATTTAAACTTTACTATATTTTCAAATTTAATGGAAAATGGCAAAATACCCAATTGAGTTTGAGTGAGGTGAGTACAATTTATTTGGTTACTCAAAGGAAAATTAGGATACCCAACTGAGATGAACACAAGTGAGTACATAACTCAATGACCCAAAAGGTTATCTGTAGCTCTGTCTCAATCAACCTTAGCAGCCTTTCACATCGTATAGATTTGCATAACCTGAAATGGGAGCAACCTGGGTCCAAGAACTCAGAAGGATTTTGCACTCGGCATCAGGACACATTCATGACATAATAAACTTCCAAAGGGACATTCCTTTCTTACCTTCACCAAATTAGAAAAATATTCTAAGTACAAAATATAATGGCAACCAGTGAATGCCCTAGAAAATGAACCAATCAGAAGTTGTCAGGATGTACCTCAGAAAACTAGGAAAAATGTCTAATAACACATCATCAAAAATGCCATAATTATCAAATCAAATTTGAAAAGAAATGACTCAGTGGTACAGTTGGTAAACTGAGGTAAAAATGTGTCATAAAAAGTACAACTGTACCATTAACACTGCATACAACTTCAGTACTAGATGCTACCTGTCACAGACAGTAACCTTGTTGTACACCATAACAGTGAGTGAGTGAGTATGGTTTTACGCTGCTTTTAGCAATATTCCAGCAATATCATGGCGGGCAACACCAGAAATAGGCTTCACACATTGTACCCATGTGCAGAATCGAAACCGGGCCTTCGGAGTGATGAGCGAACGCTTTAACTACACTAGGCTACCCCCTCCCCTCCACCATAACAGGGTCTGTTAAATTTCCCTGTGAACAGAGATATTACCCATAATGACAACACCTGTTACATGATAAATACACAGGCTGTATGAGGGCATCGATAGTTCCTGTATCCTTGTAATGACTAATGTAGCATCTAACCAGGCTAACAGCTGTATCCAACCACATGATGAATCAAACGTAAATCAATTCACTCATGTACTCTGCATACAGATGGATCCCAAGGTAACACCCAACATATCTCATACAAGTGCCTGCTGTCATAATCTCACTATGGTAAAAACAGAGGGCTGAACTACGGATAAAAAGTGCCTGCTGATCAATTAGAAAACGTAGCAAAATGCGCACCACAAATGGTCTTGGAATCATTTATGGTAAAACAGTATTGGGCTCCAGATAAGGGTACATATATGAAACTAAACACAAGATTACTGATACCCCAATAATTTCCTTCAGATGTACTCCTACAGTTTTCCAGTACTCCTATATTGTAGCAAGGAGTGTACTCCTGATGTTGAAAAAATATCTGGAGCCCTGGTAAAAAATGTCAGCTACAGTATTTTCAAACTGAACATAGAATAATGATATAAATTTAGCAAAACCTGTGGAGGTTTCCAATTCTTTGAAGAGAATCGTCCTTGGGGTACATATATGCATTTTCTGCGGCTGAAAATGTCATGTGACAGTTGTATCAATGTTTTAATAAAAATATTGTACAATAAATAAAAATATTTTTTATCAATTATACAGCCCCCACCACGTGGAGTTACCTCCCTGCTACGCATGCGCAGCCAACCAGGTAAGCACCTAGGCCCATATCACCATTCCTTCGACCAAAACGTGCACGATCACGTAAATGTGTATCGAGCTGATAGTGCCTGATAAAAGTGCTAGGCCTGCTCCAAATAGCGGCAGAGCATATCTCTTCAATGGGCAGTGCCGATGCAAAGCCTTTGACGTGGCCACTGCCCTGACCGAGTGAGCCTTCAACCCCTCAGGGGGAGGCTTGCCCTTAGCCTGATATGCAGCACAAATGACCGATACAAGCCAGCGTGATAGGGTCTGTTTGCTAGCCAGCATGCCAGCCTTCCCGCCACCGTAACAGCAGAACAGATGGGTACCCGTATGGATCCCTTGTGTTCGTTTGATATCCAACGGGTGAGTGCTCGCTGCAGAGGTCCCCGATGTGGAAGGCTGGGTAAGAGTAGGAAGTTCGATAGGAGCTGTCACATGGAAAGCGTGATAGATCTTTGGACGGTAAGTATCCGGGAGGCGAATACTGACACGATCTGGATGGAACACAGTCAGCGCTGGGTCTGCGGACATAGCATGTAAGTCACCGACCCTTCACCCAGATGTTACCGCCACCAGAAATACGGCCTTCCATGTTAACAGCTGAATGGAAATAGCCGATAGACGTGAGAACGTAGGACCGGACAGCCAATCTAGCACGATTGACAAATCCCAAGGTGGGCTGGTTCACCTGACAGCAGGTCGAACCCGATCCACGCCAGCTAAAAAGCGCTGCATAAGAGGGTGCTGCCCCAGAAGACCACCATCGACAGGGGTGTGGAAAGTGGAAATAGCTGTGGAGTAGCCACGAATGGTCGAAGCCGCCAAGCCTTCTTCCAAACGAGCTTGCAAAAACTCCAATACTCGGACTAAATGTGCAGAAATGGGATCTGCAATCCCCCTATCTGAACACCAGCGCGCATAGCGGGACCACCTATCCTCATATCCTATTGAACTTTTGTCGAAACCAGAATTGTGTCTGCAACTGCTGCAGGAATTCTGTGTGCTTCGAGGCTAGACCTGACAAAGGCCAAGCCACGCACTGACTCCTTGGATTTGGGTGTGGCGTGCCGTTCTGAGTGAGAATGTCCGGTCGCAAAGGTAATAGAACAGGAGGCTGAGCCAGAAACCTGAGAATTACCGAAACCAGCTGTGTGACGGCCATAGCAGTGCCAGTAGCACAAGTAGCCGAGCTGGCTGGGTGGACAGCTGGGAGAGGACCCGGGGAATGAGTGGTAGAGGCGGAAACGCCCACAACACCTTGCCCGTCCAATCCAGCAGGAAGGCGTCGGAAGCCAACGCCCTCTGGTACTCCGGTACTCGAAAGCAGAACACGGGTATCTGATTTGTCCCGCCGGACGCAAACAGATCCACCTGGAACGATCCGTACAACTGGGAGATAACTCCGAATATCTGCCGGTCGAGCATCCACTCGTGCGGGGCCAGGATCCGGCGAGAGAGAGCGTCTGCTCGCATGTTCTACAGCCCCGGGAGATAAACAGGAAGCACCAGAGGAGAAATTCCCACGTCTCCCGAAGGAGCGCTAGGGACACCGTGCCGCTTTGCTTCAGGATGTATGTCATGGCTGTACGGTTGTCCAACTGAAGATGAACCACCTGGCCCTGAACATGCTCCCGGAAATGCTCGAAACCAACCGGACAGCTCTCAGTTCTAATACGTTGATGTG